GGAGAAAGGCTTCAAGCCTGGATTTCTTCCTGACTTGCTAGTTTACAATGTGTAGGAGACTCCGTCCCTCCTGCCTGCCTCCCTTTCCCCCATAATATGTAGGTGCATTTAAGCACGTGAGCCCCAACCCTCCAAAGTTTACTATCTCAGAGGGGTCTATGCAAAGAGTAGGTACCACTGCTTTCTCCTTACTTTGCCATGCCCCATTCAGCATTAATTTGAAACTTCCAAGCACTTTTCCCACATGGTGGCTATAACATAAAGAAAAAAAAACAAACAAAAAACAAGAACAGAACAAATTCCAAAACTACACTGTCATCCACAAATAAAGTGTAAATCAGAAAGGTAGCATGGAACTGGGCTGAAGTGCAACAGGAGGAGTCTTGTCCCCTTATCTTATGTGACACCCATCCTAGCTAATGCTTTTACAAGGCTACAAGGAAGCATGATTTGGCTGACATTGGGGTGGGGGGGAGATCAAGGAAAAGCTTAGAGAGTTCTTCGTTCTTCTGCTTATAATTTGAGCACTGGCCCATAATGACATAAAGTGTCACAGCATGTCCCAGGAGAAAAAGGACACATTTCTAGAAACGTTTTTGCTATATCATAGTGTTGTGAGTAAAATGGAAAGGCTTTAGGAGGGAGAGACAACATAAAAGCCTATCCCATCAGGTCCATTCATATCCAGTCAGATCCAAAGAACACTGAATCTTATTTTCTTTCAAAATGCTGCTCAGAAGATGCACTCCTGTGGAGGATGTCATATCCTGTGCAAAGTGAACACAACTTACTTTGTTCTGCAATAAATATTCATACTGCTAGAGCTTCCTGCTGCATTCCGGGTGTGGAACATGGAAAGAAAGCAGTCCCTGCAGGAACTGTGCCATGACTCCCTCTCCTGGTGTTGAATAGTTAATGTTAGTACAGATATTGAGGAAACGCTTGGATCTTGCAGTAACTTCCCGCTTGCTTGCTTGCTTGCTCTACATAACCCTATATTTGCCTGCCCTTTGTTAAGTGTCATATGAAAATAAGCATGCATGTTGTTAAGTGAAACAGCAGCTGCTTATACGGGACTATTCAGCAAATGTTATGACACAATGGATGGTATCACAGGTCCTTCACATTCCCTTAAATCATTTATGATGATTTCTAAAGCACTTCTAGAAACCATGTGTTTACATATTCTCCAAGGGTAACACAATCTAGCCTCAACACCTCCATTTTAAGAAAACTATTCATTATGTCCCTTGGTATGCAAAGACATCTCAAAAGGACATTTTTGCAATCATTTAGGAATATATTCAGTTTTTAGGGATCAGTTTAAGTACAATCACTTTGTACTTGTAGGGATCAGTACAAAGGGGCTCACCTAGTAAGTAAATAGGCATTGCACTATGTTCTAAGTATATTTGCTTGGTTTGTGAACACATGCCCCCTTAACTTAATATGGGCATAATTGCATTGTGCAAGTCTGCTCTGCCGTGCTGTGTGCAGTATTAAGGCAGGGTAAGGTAAGAAAAACAACAGGTATGACTACTTCTTGCTTACACCTATTTGGGATCTGATAAAAACACATTAGGGCTGCTACCATCAGGCCTGCTGCAAGATCTGTCCGGGTCACAGCATTTTGGCCACTTGCTGCCACTTCCACATATCGCTAGGCTGGCAGATTTTTCTGGATCAGGACAAAGTAGGGGGATTTAAGCAAATAGCTCAATGCAGACTATCCACGATGAATGAATTGCTGCATGACACTAATTCAGTAATGGCCTGTTGGGGAGCAATCCTTTGGCCCATGGACATTATCTGAGGGGCCATAGGAATTCAGATTACCCCTTTTGAGGTCAAAGACAACATTATGTCTGCAAGGGGAAATTGGAGATCCAACTCTCCATCCCTTCCCTTCCCAGCTGTTTTTAGAGGTCAGGGACCTGAGGGACAAAGAGGGCCTTTCAGTGGGTAAAGCAGGGATAAGTCTCAAGAAACTGAGACAGGTGACCATGACTGGCTGGGAATTCTGGGAGTTTGTTTCTGTCTAATCACATACAGAATTGGGCCAATCGAGTTTAAATTCCAAGTCCAGGTTTTGATATTGTCACATATAAGGATCCAAAAATAAGAGAATTGGGCAAGAACCTCCCAATGTATGGCTAGAAATATGTCTTCTGAAATGAAAGGTAAAATCTGGAGGTTTCTGCAGAAATTGCTAGCTTCTTTATCAGTGGACTTCCCATTCATGAGTTGGATATTTTACTATTAGATGGCCCTGGAGTCCACCTGTAGATTTGTTTTTATTTATTTTAATTGAAAAAGCAAACTTTAATAATCTTATAAAGATTGCCTACTTTCATGAAGGTGTTCTAATTTTACAGTTTTACATAACCTCACATGCTCAGATCTTTGCCCTCCTTTCCTCTTCCCCCTGTGTGTTCATTTGTGCAGATTTATTCATCAGTGAACCTCTTTCAGCCCAAGGGTTTAATTCAGTTTCCAGGCAGCTCTTGGAGGATACATCCCAGTGGTGGTGGAGCTAGTGGCAGTCAGAGGAGACTGGAGATGAAAGGAAGTGTCCAAAATACAGACCATACCAGCATCCTTTAGCGCCATTCTCTTCCTGCCAGTAACTAAGCTTTAGAAGAGACATTTCACTCTTAGACTGAAGAAAAAAGTAGGAAAGCTGGAAAACCACTAGAAAACCAGTGGTTGGGGGAAAGGGGCCATGGGTAGTCAGTTTGGACCCCTGAACAGGTCACATTAGGACTCATAGTCTGAAGCACAACACCTCAGTTATTTATATCTACCAGGAAGCAGCTCAAGTGACCCCAGTGGAACTTACTTCTAACCTAGGGATAGGACTGTTTTTAAATACTTTAAAAGACTGTTTAATTTATTCTAAATACCATAAGCATATTTATAAAAATGTTGAGGAGCTAATATTCATGCCAAGGTTGCAGTTTTCGCATCGTGAAGATGCAGTAGTGTTATTTGTTTTTTAATTACCTGCTACTGAATTTCTGATAGCTTTCATGGACACTGTCCACTCTCTCAGATATGCCTTGTGCTGAGCTCCATTTGGCCAATCTGTATAGTCTGACATGCATCTAATGGAGTGGACATTGCCCACAAAAGTTAACACCAGCATAGACCTGTTAGACTTTAGAGTGTCGTAAGTGCTTCTTGGTTCTGCTACCACAGATTAACAGCACTCCCCCGCTAGAAAGAACGAAAAGTGCCCACCCTTCCAAACTCGAGAGCAATGCCCAAAGCCAGCCCTACCATTCAGCAATAAGAGGCAGCTGACCACTGAAGCTGATTTGGAGTGTCATAAAAGGCGATCAATTTGATTATTCTTATTTGTATGGCCAGAGGATGAGAAAAGGAGCTGGTGGAATTGTCATGCTCGGCTTTGCTGGCCTGGGCTACTGTGCATCTTGACTTGAGAGAAGAGTAGCCACGGTTTTGCTGTTCTGTCTCCCTCAGCAAGGCAGCTCGGACTGGGCCTGCAATGCCAATGCCATGAAAAGGGCTGCTAGGGACCAGCAGGGGAGACATGCTCCAGCTGGTGATGAGCTTGTCCCAGCCTCAGCTTCTGAATAAATCAGTGCAGTTTAAGAGCATTTTAGGAGGCAGCCTCTTCTCCCCAGAAGCAGCTGCTAATCCTGCCATCCCTGTGCTATCATTGCTAATGACTTTCCAAGAGGAGAGGATAAAAGGGAACGAGTTTCACAAAGAAAGGTGCTAAAATACAAGGTGATGACAGTCACTCTTCCAAACTCTCATCAAACAAATCAATGTATATAATTGGCTTCCATGTTCCCAAGGAGGGAGGGGGGGAGCAATCATCAATTAGTATGCAGAATGTTTGTTTAAGTAAGGGATCCCTTTCCCTTGCCCTTTACTTTTAACTGAAAAGCACTTCCAGTTGCTTTCAAGCCATAGCAACCAAACATTACCGGTCAAGTTTGGACTCTGCCTACACTTGTAAGCAGAGTTTTTTTTCCCTGTCATTCTTGTCTTGTGAGTTGGGCTTGCCTGGAGTTCTGAGCCACTATCCGGCTGTGTTCAGGAGGGCATGGAGGGAGCACATTCTCTTAATAAAATGAGACGTGTGTTGCAACTGCAGGGAATCCTGTGTGGGACTACTGGGTGCAGTTTATAAACAAACAAACAAACTACTGGGAGTAACACAAAGAAGAACAGAAACCTAGCTGTAAATAGGTATTGAACCAATACTTCCCTTTAAGAAATAATGTTTTGGCCTAGAGTTATTATTATTGCACTCAAAACTCCCAAGAGTTTGTTGTTTTCTTCTCGGTGTTTATTACTCCTCCATCAAGCCTTTGTCTGTGTCAGGAGCCTCCAATTTTGGGGGGCCAGTGGGGACATTTGAAAGTTTGAGAATGTTTGGGGTCTTTCACCAAATGCCAGCCATGGGGCTTGCCCATTTATAACACATGTGGGTATCTCCAGTCACAAAACACTCATTTCTTGGAAAGCAAACTGGTAAGATTGAAAGAAAAGTATCTTCCTCCTAACAAGCAGAAATGGACTCTGAGCTCCACTCTTTTGAATAATAAAATTCCAGCTAGAATAATAAAATATATGAAAAGCTTAAGAAAGAAAATTAAATGGAACTGAGAAAAGTAGCTGTATGAACCCAGAACGAACACAAACATTTCATTGTTGCCTCTATTTTTATTAATCCAGTTGTTAATTTTTTTAATAACGTGAAAAAAAGAACATTATGTAAGTCATGTACACTAAAGAAAGCCCAAGAGAGATTCTATTAAATAATTTAGATGCATTAAATAAATACAATATAATAGCAGCCTTCTACAATGCAGGCTACGTAGAGGTTTACTTCGGCCTGAAGTACCCTGGTCTTTAGTACACCTACAGGAGCAGACCTGCTCCAAAAAGTGTTTTAAAGAGACATATCTATAAGATACATATAAAAGAGGGTCTAAGGTTAAAAATAAGTTTCTTCCAAGACATTTTTACCATGGTCTCCACATGTCTAAAGACCCCATACTGACACTGCCATGTGCAAAACGGGGTTGCAGAATCTGGATAGGAGGTGACGACTCATGCTGACTGCAACGTGAGGGCAGCTGTGGCTGAAACGACTTTTTCACTCCCTGTTTCTCTTCCGTGGGGGAGACCAGCTCCTGAGATTGGTTGGATCCTGTTGTGCTCCTCTTGCCACTCCCTGGGGCAGCAGAACTCAAGTCTGCCTTGCGGGTTTCCCCATTAGATCTGGGCAAGGATTTCAGCAGGTGCTTTAGCAGACGTGCTCCAAGGGTCTTGTCCATCCATTCACAAGTGAGGAGGAGGTTGTGCACTTCATGCATACACTGAATATATCCAGTGCTGAATCTCTGCTGAGCTTCCAGGCCCATTTTAGAATCTGCTTTATACAAATGAAAGATGCTTCTAGTCACTAAATGTATACAGTCAAGTCTTTTATTTATAAATATAGCAGCATGTACATAATATGGGAGACAACCAGAAATCACCCCCAAATTCAGATACCTTATTGGGCTGACCCTTTCCCATAATAGTGGGAATTATTCTGAAGCTATGCATGTAATCTCAGGTTCCAGTTTTCAATTATGTATAGGCTTTTAATTGTGATATATTTGCAGTCTGGAGTGGGATGAGGTAGGGATTAGAAAACCGTATGAGCGTTCTTTTCTGCAGAGTATTAAATGTAGTTCTAAACCTCTTGCAAAACTCTAGCAGAATTAAGACAGTATATGGCACTGAGTTAGTAATACAATGAGAGTTCCACATGGACGTTTGCTGAGCGTCACTGATACAAATATGTACGGTCATGTGGATCTTTCTCTCTTAACCAATACTCTCTCTCTTGGGTGGTTGTTACCAATGTGGTGGGAAAGACCTGTCTATTCAACCCTGCCAAGCCTACATGGCTCCCCCATGTGGTTGGGTTGTTCCACAGGGAAATAGTTCCTGCATCTCTATGGCTCCTAGTGGAAGGAGGCCTTTGTCTCCCACCTTCATTTCCTCACCTGTTTGTATCAGATGCAGCACAAAAGTTGCACTACAGATGAAATAGCTCACAGAAAATGGTAAGCAAGCAGCTTGTATGTCAACACAGGTTCCACCTTCCTTTCTTGAACTTCACTTTACTTTATTAAACACACATTCTGTTGTCCAGGATAGCAAGCTAGCTCAATAATCTGTGTTAGTATATTAATTTGGTATACTTTTTAGAAGCACAGATCCTTAGCTCATCATTAAGTGCCTTTGATCAATCCAAATTGCACATTTTAATGCACAGTACTTTGTCATTCCATTTATTAATATGTTTCTCATAATAAACCTTTTCCAGATAGTTCTGGAGGTCTATGCCCTTTTGGGTTAACAATATCTTACCTGCTTACACTGATGTTTTAGGTTGTATCCAATGCTAGTCCTACTTAGAGCAGACTCACTGACAGGGATAAAAGCTAAGTTTAACTAACACTGGACACAACCTAATGTTTTTAAACAGTTCCATTGTTAGCAATTCTACCTATGAAAGGAGCAGTCCTAAAGTCTCACTGCTCACAGCATCCATATAGGTGGCTGAAGATAGCTGGAAATTGTAGGATATTTTTTTCTTTTTAAACTTGTATAGAAATGCATCCCTACCAAACCTTTAATGGCACAACCTATTGCTTTTAATGTTGTGACAATATTCATTTAATCATTGTTAAGCCATTTATTCCTCCACCCTCCCACCCCAATTTAGGTACCTTAAAATATGAAGAATAGTACCAATTACTTATTGGGAATACCTTTTTAAAGCTGCCCATGATCCTGACATACTATTAAATTATTGTGGTACAGAAATTATTTTATCTACAATACACTACACTTATATAAGCATAAGAATCAGCATAAGAAGCATAAGTTTGCAGGGCTGAGCCATAGGCAGCCATCAAGTTATGGCTTTTATTGGTTATGGCTTTTATTACTCAGGCATAGCTCCTACCTGGGCAGGAATACTTTATAACCCATGCTGTTGAGAAGAAACCTATTGATGTTCTGGACAGACCCATCTCAGTATATCTGAAGTATTTACTGAGGAGGGAATGCTGTTGGCATGCATCTCCCATTAGCACAAGCCGACATAGCCAATGGCAAGGGACCATCGGGATGAAATCCAACAACATCTGGATGCTTACACACTCCCCATCACTGGAGATGCTCCAGGGCATAGCCTTGCAAGCTCAAGCTGTGTCTCTTCCCAGCCATTCCCAGGTCTAGCCGTGACACTGGTTGTTTTGAGAAACTGCAGCCTCACAAACGAAACGAGTATTGCAGCAATAATGAGTTTTAAAGAAAGACAATAACTGCCATCAACACTGTATTAGAATAGCCAATATGCAATATTTTATTAGCATAACCAGTAGAGGAAAGGTGGGGTGCATCTCTCAAATTTTAAGCATTGACATTAGCTCCCAGAATAGGCACATCCAGTCAGCAGATTCCCTCCCTCTCAACTGTTAGGAATATATAGTAAGAAGGAAAGGACTTTGTTAAATCATGAACATACTTTCATGGTGTTATACCAACTCTTGTCATGAACCTTTACAGCATGGACCTGGGAAAATATGTGAGATACTGGCATAAGATGCTATCATAAGTATATGAGGACTGCAAAACTGGAGTGTGAACCCCACCCTCCCAAACTGCTGTATGGATTCACCTGTAGAGCTTATCCAGTGATGTGGGGAATGTGTGCCATGGATGCTTTTCAACCCCTGCACAACGGGCTTGCACGTCTAGCAATAAGTATAGGGAAGGCCATGGTTCAGTGGCAGGGCATGTGCTTTGCATGCAGAAGGTCTTAGTTTCAATCATCAGCATCTACTAGAACGGTTGGAAAAATTCCTGCCTGAGATTCTGGAGAGGTCTTGCGAGTAGGGGGCTGCTTCCTAAGTTTCATTGCAAGTTTCTACTCAAAGAATATAGCACAAAATCAACTCAAACATAAGTGATGACTGCATGGTTTTAAATTGTTTTTAAGAACATTAAACAAGCCACACCGGAACAGACCTCGTTCAGCTGTGTGTTCACAGAACAGACAACTGGATGCCTTTTGGAAACCCACAAGCAGGACATCAGTGCAATGGCTTCCTCCCATTTGTTTTCACCCACAGCAGGTGCACTGTCTCTGACACTGGTGGCAATATAAAGCTACCATGACTAGTATCCATTAATAGACTTATCTTTATGCTAAAGCTGGGATAGCTATTTGTCCCTGTACAAGTTTAGTCCTATGTGTGATTACTCAGCCTCCAAACCATTTTTAACTCCAAACTAAAATAGTCATACTATAAAAGAAATGCTAGGGAGCTGTTTCACCTGTCTGCATTCATGTCATAAGCAAAAGTTGACTGATTCACAACTACATTTCACTGAAATCTTATTTTTGGGTACAAAATATTGTGGCGTAAATGCTTGGAAGATATAATCTTCCTGTAGCATTAAAGACGTTGAGTGGTGTATGGGTGTATTTCTTCAAGTCCTCAAGAAATTGTCAGAGTAGTCCCAAGCAGTGGAATCATCTGCATGTCTACTCAGAAGTTAGCCCCTTTGCACTCCATAAAACTCATTAGTAGGTAAACATATATGAAATTGCAGCCTCAGTATTTTCTAACTGGAATCAGATAATTTGTGCTTAAACCTTTCTGCACTGTATTTTTACTCTGCAACATTTACAGGATTAAAACATATATAGAATTTTCTATATGGACTATTTGTCCATCAAATAGCCATCAAATGGGACCTGTGCAAGGCTATTATTACTCAGGCATTGTTAGCTCAGTTACTATGATTCATTTAACTTCAAGCTGGATGTAGAACATCCTCCATTCTTATTCTTTCTTATTCTAATTTATTGATTTGCTTTGAACAACTTTCTCATCTTATTTGGCAGTTCCAGTTCCAGAGGTTGGAAAATACACTTCATACACAAAGGAAGGGTAAGCTGCATGAACCATTTAGGTACAAAAATCCCATACTCACCCATATTTTTGCTGTTTTGGATATTCTGAAGATGCTTTACAGTCATTTCAAGGATATCTGCTTTTTCAAGTTTAGATTGCTATTTAAAAATGAAACAGCAAAGTGGGTTTGTGACAAGGAATAAGTTTGTAAGTTTCTGAGAAACAAAATAGGAGAAGAGCGAAAGCAGATGTTTAAAAAACAACAACAGCAACAGTAACCACCTATCCTTACATCAAGCTGAAAGGCCCCAATGACCGTCTCCTTGAGCTGGTCCAAGCAATTGTTAATCCTCTCCCTCCGTTTCCTTTCAATCAAAGGTTTTCGTAACTGAAATAATGAAAGGAGGAGTGTCAGGTCATTCCACATGCAGGTTTCAGTCATATTGCAGGTCAAATCAAATGCACAACTGGGTAAGGCTTAACTGGGAAAATGCATTGAATTCTGTTCTTAAATGAGCACCCTTTTGCATTTCATAGGCATTGTGTGGCAAGATACTGTAGACTTACACTCTGTGACTTATATTAAAAGACTACAGTTGTAAAACACTTTGCTATGACCACCCATATACCCAACTTTCATCCAAATAAAATTTTAAATGAATCTAGATAGGCAAAACAAATAGCACAAACCTGTACATATTTATTCAAAGTAAATTCTGATCTGTTCAATGAAACTTAGACAAAGGTAAATGTGCACAGGTTTACAGTGTTCATATTCTCAAATAACCCTTTACCAAAGGTAGAAATAGCAATCTGTAAGTGAAATTCTGTCAGAGAGTGGGAACTGTACACATTTCCAAAACTCTTACAACAGTTTTCATGTGATGTGTTTTCCCCTTATCTCACAACGCCTTGGTCCACTGTTTATTAATAAGTTTGTGTTGTCCAGCCCATGAACTCATTCAGACAACCTTTTTGACAACCAAAGAGATTACTTGCACATATTCTTGTAAGCATTGGTTGTAGATGAATTATCACAATCAGCTGGTATCACCAGGCATTTTATTATCACATGTATCCTTAACTTGAACTACAAATGATCTAGGTTTGCTTGCTTGCTGTAAGTGTAGTCTGTGTAGATATGGCTTACTATTAGGCTATACTTGGCTATATACAATGAAAAAATGCAGCTGTTATATATATATTGTGTGTGTGTAGGTAGGTAGGTAGATTCACACACAAGCAGGGATTGTGTGCACATTACAATTATACCTTAGTTTCTGTATCAGATGGTTGCATGGACTCCTACCTAGATGTCTTCTTACCACCGCACAGTGTCAACAGGGCACTAGCCGAGACAGAAGTGATGCTCTATCAGGAGATCCTTCTTAGTGAAACCCAGTAATGGACAGCAAGCACCTGGATATAAAAGCCTTACACACACCATGCACGCTTAAAAGCTTCTGTCTATCTACAGCTAGCAGCAACTGCCTAGTGCATATATATTGAGTCATTTATAAAACGGGACCTACCTTCCTTTCCTCTTTGGTGCTGGATAGCTTCTGCACACTGCTGGTCAGGGTTGTGGCAGTCATTGTAATCCACCCAGCCTGCCCTGAGGCTTAGGGGAGGAAAGGGGAGAAAGCCCTTTGGCAGCTGGCCTTTCCCTTGCCTTCTGGGGCTTCCTCTTACATGAGTGTTGCGCTTCCCTCGCATTTATAGCCTGTTATTAGCATGTGAATGAGAGCATTGCTTGGCTGGCCCTCTTTTCCCACAGGAGGGGTTGAGGCCAGAGGCTTGTGCCCATCAATCAAGGCTGACAGGTCAGTACTTTTCAATGGCCAGATCACACACACACACATACAGAGCTCCCAGAGAGCGACAGATGTCCAGCCTCTACAAAGCTTTGCTTGGCAGAAATCTTTTGTTAAGGAGGAGACAAAAACCCAAGAGCACTCAGTGGAGGTTACATGGTTCTCTCATGGGCATCTGCAGGAATTTTTCCAGGATGGGGAGGACTCTGTGGTTGTATCTTGTGTGCATAGCGTGCATTGCTACAACACACATGTGCACTTTCCTTGTGTGAGCTTAGCATACATTCCATGACATTTAGAAGCCTGTGCAGAAGAGATCCTAGGAAATGAACAGCACCAATGCAGAGCAACATTATATTCAAGAAATACCATGCACTCCAATAAACCTTTACTTGGAGTGTGGGATAGTACACACACACACACACACCTAGAAATGGGGGTGGGGGGGAATGTAGACAGTACAGCCATCTTAAGAATATCCTATCATACATCTTATGACATCCCTGCCATTATCATAGCATTGACAACCTCACGTGACTTATCCTGGAATCATTTTCTTCGTCCTGGGAACCGTGGTAAACTCACTGGAACAGTCTCCCCAGCTTGGTGCCCTCCAGTCCTTGGACTGCAGACCCAGCATCCTGGACCACTGGCCATGCGAGTCAGGGCTGACTGTAGCTGACATTCAAAACATCTGAAGGACACCAGGCTGGGGAAGGCAGCCTTGGAGAGCAGCAGCGGAGTCCATGGGGAGTATCTTCAGCAGTGGAAGGAGAAATGAGCATGTGTTTCGAGGAGGCTTCTAGAGGGCTTTGGACTACTCATTTTACATTACCCATTGTTATCGACTGCTTTTTATATCAGATAACAATACAGCTTTTGCACGGCTTGAAATTTGAACTAGTTTCTCACTAGTTCAAATGAATAGGCAGAATAGCAGCTAAATAGATTCAGCCTCATATTTGTCTTCTACATAGGAACCCTAGTCTGTTGTAGTAAAATAGACAAGTCTTGTGGTACCTCAAAGACTTCATGCTATTCTGGCATAAACCTTTGTGGGCTACAGCCCACTTCATCAGATGTGTGAAGTGTTATACAGAATTTTGAGTATACCTACAGAACACATATCAGTGAAAGAAATTGTAAACAGTGAAGTCAGAAGAAGTTCAAATGGAAAAAAATAGACAATGAAAATCACATAATCAACGGTGTCTATTCACAAATGGTTGCTGCTGATAACTCAAAAATCCTGGCATACGGTAAGACAAGTAACACATATAATATAATAAAATCCTTTATCTCATTTCAAGCTTCTGATGATAGAATTGAATCTGTATGAATTCTAGCTCAGCAGTTTCTTGCTCTATTTTTCCTTTGAGGTTCCTTTGATCCACAATGGCTACCTCAGGTTCCTCTGTCAGTGACAGAGTTGTTCTCCCAGTGTTTTTTGAGCATCACCATTTCTGATCTCAGATCTGCATCCATATATTATTCTTCACAGAGACTGGCCTGTTTGCCTTATACAGAATGCAACAAAAGATAGTATATATCCCATTGATGAGTAGATGAATGAACAAATTACATCATAGGTGATATTATTAGGGCTTGTAACATTTTTGCCAAAGTAGGTATGGACACACAGCTGAGATGTAGGTTTGTCTGGTCCCTGTGGTTTTGTCCTTGCTATGTGGACAGATGTTACAATCAAGTAGCCATTTTGTGTTGAGTCAGCAGAATGGTGGAGAACTGTTGGTAAGCAAGACAGCGCAGGCCTGCCCTCCACGTCCTGTCAGAGAGGCTTGTCTTTGTCCAGCATGTGCTGCAGACCACTGTCAGGACAGTGGAGTGGTTTTGGATGGAAACTGCATGTAGAAGAAACCCAGTGCTATTGTATTGTTTCCTGTGTCTGTCTTGTAGCGGACTGTTCACTCATATGACCTTGTCAAGTCTGTTTTCTCACCATGCTGGGTGAGTGTTGCATTCTGATATAAAACCTTAAATTGTGAGTCTCTTTCCAACTAATCTGAACAGAGCCAGTTGCATCAAAGGGTGGGGCTAAAATTGTGGTGTGTTCTGGGTGAAACCGGAAAGCATATACGCCTGTACAACAGTGAGCAGGTAATAAGGAAGTACCTATTTATTTGTTTGAAGTGTTTTCATGCTATTATTTCAGCTTAAACACTCCCAGCACGTCTTCCATATAATCAATGAAACAGGACAGTCTCTCCCACAGTAGCAAAAACTGAGATGGGTGACAGCTGAGGAAGGAAGAGCGTTCAAAGGGGAGGCCTTTCAGCAGAGCTGGTGCGTGGCCCTGTTCTCCTTTCCATCTCTCTCTCAGCCCAGCCTGCTGGAATGCACTGGAATGCATATGTCCATTATGTCGCTGCACAGTCCAGTCCGGAAAGTGAATCTGCTTTGTGGCCTGGTCTTGCTTTAGGTTGATGGTGGTAGTCCTGGTGGAACTGTAGTACTCCTGGTGGAATTTCATTAGCACCTCTTGTCTGTGAGTCCAAATAATAAAGATGATATCAGGGATACAAAGACGTCATCCATGATTCATAAAGAGGAGACTTTTCAGAACAGAGCTGAGAAAATCTTGTTCAAAATCAGCCATGAAGATGTTGGCGTACTGAAGGGTTACGGGAATAGCCATGACCCTTGATCTGAAGATATAACTTCTCCCCAAAACTGAAGTGATTGTGACTAAGTATTGAGTAACAGAGTTTGGTGGCTAGATAATCTGTAGTGCCTTGAATGATTATGTTCTTGATGGCAGGTATCCCATCTTTGTGAGACAGCTGGTGTTGAAGGCCTCAACATCCATGCTAAGGAGAATGGTGTTTCTGAGAGACTGTTGTTTCCTCAGTGAACTAACATCATATCTAACTTGTTGGTAGCGTAAATTATGAGAATGAATTCCATATGACCAGACAGCCCAACGCTGAGAAAGGGATTTACAGGGTTGCCTCATTTTGGATAGCAGATTGATGCCTGGTTGAGGCTCTTGAAGCTTGTCCATGCAAATTAATTTTTTCATATCTGTGGGAAATTTCTTCATCAGCTTGTTTGCTTCCTTCTGGTATTCCTCAGTGGAATCTAGGGATGGGGCCTGAAAGAGGTGGTTTCGCATAGTCTCCTCTCAAACTCCTTTTGCTGTTGATGTTGTTATGACACCCTCCAAAATGTTCTGTCCTTGACAGTCCTGCTCAGCTTTTGTAAACCCAAGGCTGTGTCTTTCTTTAATGGATCAGTCTACCTCATATTTGGTCTTCATCTTCTGTCTTGTGTGGCTCAGATCATGAGTTTCTGGTTGCAAAATTTAGGCTTAAGTTGAAGAAAGTAGGGAAAAGCACCAGGCCACTCAGGTATGACCTAAATCATATCCCTGATGAATATACAGTAGAGGTGACAAATAGATTTAAGGAATTAGATCTGATACACAGAGTGACTGAAGAACTATGGACGGAGGTTCACAACATTGTACAAGAGGCAGCAACTAAAACCATCCAAAAGAAAAAGAAATGCAAGAAAGCAAAATGGCTGTCTGAGGAACCTTTACAAATAGCTGAGGAAAGAAGGGAAGTGAAAGGCAAGGGAGAAAGAGAAAGATACAATGCAGAATTCCAGAGAATGCACAGTCCCAGAGAACAGCTAGAAGAGATAAGAATGCCTTCTTAAATGAACAGTGCAAAACAAGAAAACAATAGAATAGGGAGGACCAGCGATCTCTTCAAGAAAATTGGAGATATGAAGGGAACATTTCATGCAAAGATGGGCATGATAAAGGACCAAAATGGCAGGGACCTAACAGAGGCAGAAGAGATTAAGAAGAGGTGGCAAGATTACACAGAAGAACATACAAGAAAGAGCTTAACGTCCCTGATAACCACGATGGGGTGGTCACTGACCTCGAGCCAGACATACTGGAATGAGAAGTCAAATGGGCCTTAGGAAGTCTGAGCAACAACAAAGCTAGTGGAGGCAACAGTATTCCAGTTGAGCTATTCAAAATCCTAAAAGATGATGCAGTAAAAGTGCTACACTCAATATGCCAGCAAATTTGGAAAACTCAACAGTGGCCACAGGATTGGGAAAGGTCAGTTTACATTCTGATCCCAAAGAAGGGCAATGCCAAATAATGTTCAAACTACCGCACCATTGCACTCATTTCACATGCTAGCAAAGTGATGCTCAAAATCCTACAAGCTAGGCTCCAGCAGTATGTGGACCGAGAACTACCAGAAGTACAGTCAGGATTTCAAAGAGGGAGAGGAACTAGAGATCAAATTGCCAACATACGCTGGATCATGGAGAAAGCTAGGGAGTTCCAGAAAAACATCTGCTTCATTGACTATGCTAAAGCCTTTGATTGTGTGGATTACAACAAATTGTGGCAAGTTCTTAAAGAGATGGGAGTACCAGACCATTTTATTTGTCTCTTGAGAAACATATATGCGGGTCAAGAAGCAATAGTGAGAACTGGACACAGAACCACTGATTGGTTCAAAATTGAGAAAGGAGTTCAGCAAGGCTGTATACTGTTGCCCTGCCTATTTAACTTATATGCAGAGCACATCATGAGAAAGGCGGGGCTAGATGAATCACCAGTTGGAATTAAGATTGCTGGGAGAAATATCAACAACCTCAGATATGCAGATGATACCACTCTCATGGCAGAAAGTGAAGAGGAACTAAAGAGCCTCTTGATGCGGGTGAAGGAGGAGAGTGCAAAAGTTGGCTTGAAACTCAACATTAAGAAAACTAAGATCATGGCATCC